AAAAAAAAAAAAAAAAAAAAAAACAAAATTTGGGAGGTGGACCTTCATGGCATCCTTTAACTGGGAAACTGTACAGGGCCCTCCCAGACCTCTACAGTTCCACAAGATTGTCTTCATTTATCCATTTAGGGCCATTCAAGGCTGGCTACCCCCACCTGATTAGCATCATCAGAATTTGTGAGATTGCAGTGTCTCTTAGCTGAAGCATCCTGATCTAAATCTTCATCATGATCTCCAGATTGCCTCTGTCTTTTACTACTGCCTGGTGGCAAGAAAATCTCCATAGCAGTTTCTGTTCTTTTCAGTCTCCCCACATTTGGTTCTTTCTCTTCCATACAGCAGAATGTTGTTTCCCTTTGAGGGTCTTTGAGCTTTTCATTTGCTTTTGAGAAGCATCTACAGCTGTGAGTCAATCCACAGCTCCATAGATATCTCGTTTCCTGTGTTCTGAGCACTCCCCTTTTCTCCCTCCGCAAGATTGCCCATTTTGGGCGTTACTGGAAGGCAAGTACTATGATTTTCATCATCTTTCTCCCTACAGCCGAGCTAGTCACTGGAATTAGAGCCACTTTAAGAGCAGCCTGCACTCTGTCCCTCTCCTGTCCCTGGTGAATATCAGAATTTGATGGATCTCCTGGATTAGTGAAGTTGCTCTGGCTGTTTGATCTAGGAGATGGATATGAAGTTGATGGAGAACCAAAGCCCCTGCCAAGATCCGCAGCCTTCATCCAATCTCCAAACTGACCCTCTTGCACCTGACCCTTCTCAATATGAGCTAGCCTGGTTTTACAGTCCCTCTCTAGATGGCCCACCAAACCACAATAGTAACATAAGCTCACCAATTTTTCATACTGGAAGTTCACATTGTATTGACGAGATCCCAGTTTAATGACAGTACACCGAGGTAAGGGCTCCTTTACATCATGTGACACCAACAAACGCAGGAAACTCCCTTTTGTCCCTCCCCCTTTCACCACTATCACATTTCTGACTTTCTGAAATAACCTCCCTATCTTCAATCCTACATCAATGCTCAACCAATGTAATGGTAATTTATGCACTTGCACCCATAGAGACACTTCACTGAAGCGCCATCATTCTCAGAAATGTCTTCCCTCCAATCTTGAAGAATTAGATATTGATTTTCAAAGACCAAGTTAACTCCAGCCATAACCTTATCTTTATCTTTCTTACACCCAAAGATGAATTGAAAAAAATTTGGCCCCAATTCCTTCACCTCAATGGGTTGTGCTGTTTGCCATACAAAGCTCATCGTACGCCGGATTCAAAATTTGGTAGCCTTCTTATCTCCTATAATCTTCCCCAACAAACTTCTTCGGCATTCCTCAGCACTGATACGCACATCCCCATCCTCCAATTCAACCCCGCCGCTCTTTTTTGCCGATAGATGAATGTTTTGAAATCTTTCCCCCACATCCTCCGACATAAACCCTAATAACAAAGCCAATTCAAGGAAAGAAATAGTAGCTCCACCCCAACGAGAATCGAAGAAAAACCGCTAACAATGATATATTACAGGTAATCGAAGCTCTTCTAGAAGAGAATCTAGATCTCCATTGAGAGAATCGTGCTCTCCATTGAGGAATTATTACGAAGAACTGTTTTTTTTATAGCCCTTGTTGTATAGAGTTAAGTTCCGACTTGAGAAATTGTTTGATTGAAATTCGATATATAACGTTATCGAGTTAAATTCTGTTTATAGCAGTGCTTTTGCTATAAGACTTGATGCCCTCAAGTGAGGATTATTCGCACCGCCATCTCGAAATGAGAAGGCATAAATGACGGGAGCAGATGACGGAAGGAGTCCCAATTTTTTGGGTATTCGGGAATTTGTAACCGTTCTCGATAGGACCATTAGATGCGTATATAACCCAGTAGAATGCGAACTGAGAGTAGAGTCTGGACGCCTTATTTATGCCGTTATTCGACCCTGATGCGTGGTGGTGAAAAATTGATACGTAACACAGTCGCAACTCTCAAGAGTGGCTAAGTCTCGAGGAAGGCGACAGTGACCTTTTCTCTTGTGAAAATTCCCTTCATCATGTTAAGCCGCGAACGATTTCCTAGCAGCAACAGGACTTACCCGAGAAACAGCTTGAACTAGTGATGGAGGCCGTGAATCATAGAGTCGTGGAGGCAAAGCAGTCTTGTTTCCTTGCCTAAATTTTGTCTTCTTATAGACTTTTGCAAATCGCTGCTTATTCCCTTTTTGTATGGCCAACTATTTTGAATTGTGCTTGAAGTTTCTTTCGTTGTCCAGTATTCGTATTTTGAGAATTTCGCCTGATGTTTCCTTTCCCGGCATCGAACTTCAGATGGAATTTAACATCGACGAAAAGTTCAAGAGATCGAGAAACATTGTTGTTAGTGGGAATGCAATAGATACCAGAGGATTGTAATCGGCCCAGTCCTTTTTCTCCTTTTGTCTGGGGTATAGTTGTGTTCAAACCCCACCTTTGTTTCGTTGGGTTTTGGCCTTGTTTTGAAAAACCCGATTGCAAGTGAGATTAAGCATCTTTTGTTTCCTCTTATCTCTATTTGTTTACAAAGTATGTGAGTTCCGTTTGGATGTCATTGCTAAGTTATCACGAAGACTCGAGGGCACAATTTTCTATCACCACTTTCATGAATAATCTGCCCTCGAGGAAGACAATAATTATTCACCCTCGGCATCAAGACAAACGTACGGGAGCAGAAGTCAACACCAGTCGGTTCGATAAAGAAGATAGAGTTATATGATGCATGTTAAGAAGTGTTTCCTTCCACCTTAGAAGATTATGCAGAAATCTTTTAAGGAGGATAGTCGAGTCCGGAACAAGCGCATCGTGGAGTGCAGAGCCACCTTCACCTTTGGTGTTCGCTCAATGTATCTTTAGTATCTCATTTAAGACTGCCGGCACAGTTAGCTACTTAAATCGAGAGCTGACGTGACGGCCGACACTGTCAGTAGAAAGAGTCAAATGAGCTAAACATTTATTATTCAGTAGTGATCGCCGAGATTGGGATTGTTTCTGGCTGAGGAACCGATCCTCGTTTCTTTCGGGAAGTTTTTCCCGACCCATATCGTAGGTTGTTCGGTGGATTAGAGAAGGAAGTGGACTTGGATCTCAAACATGCCCCTTGCTATCTTTGAGACAGTTGAAACCTTTGAAATTGTGAGACGACTGAAATATATATTGGACCCAAAATTCTCGTTAATTTGTAAAACCATTTCTTTCGGTGAACTAAGATTGTAACCTTTTTATGAAACCTTGAACCGAACGCCGGCCCTGACTGGGTGGAGCCACGCGAAGTGGTGGCCGAGCATGCACGACCATGCTGAGAGACGGGAGGCTTGCGCGCGGCCGACCGTTGACTCGCATGTGAGCTGCAGCCGCCATCGTCGTACGCACGAGCTCCCAAGACCTGTGTATACGACCGACCATTGATGTTTTTTTTTCCTGAACTGTTGAAACCGTTTCATGTTGGACCATTGGGTTAGTCTATTTAAACTTCTTTCTGCGAGCCTTGAACCGAGAACTCTAAGTCCCACTAAATGTGTGTAAATCCTTAATCGATGATTCCTAGTTACGGAGAGTAGTCATTCAGTCCCTATGCTTCATTTGAGAGTTTCTCGAGTGGGCAAATTGGGAATGTCTTATTGTTATTGATCAATCCTTATGTTTGCACATAAGGGCTGCGTTCGACTCGTGGAGTCAATATCGTGTGAGTATGAGCATCTGGGATATGTTGTATACCGTGTCGTTCTCTCGGATGGAGACGCACGACCCGTGATGGAATCGTGAACAAATCATCAGTGTCACCCGGGGTCGAGACTGAAGCTTGGCCTCACGAGCCCACCTTGAAGGTGAGGCAGTCGGAGTACACTATCAATACATCGATCGACCTATTGAGGTTGTGTGTGTTGTTAGGTGCTAAGCAAATTTTAGATACTCATAGGTATAGGCCAAGCCGGACTGAGTCCCTTGCAAGAGGATGTATGCCTGAGCTCGGGCAGGATTGATAACCCTTCCATGCAATAAGGCAAACATATGAGCATATGACGAGTCAGATTGAGTCCTGTACGTGAGTTTATACTTTTCGAGTATGTCGTTTTCCTTTAGATGCGTGTTCTTTCGTATTTCCGAGGACGGAAATATTTTAAGGAGGATAGATTGTAACGCCCCGTTCGATTTTTAGAATTTCTCGGAATATTCTATTTATCGAATATTATTTATGAGATTATATTTATTTTATTTGTCGCGATGTCGACTTAAATTAAAGATGGAGTACTCGATCGTTTTATTGAAAAATGTTCGTTATTCAGCGATTTCGGTTTAATCCCGTAGTTCGGATTTAACCCGTTCGATTATTGAATTTATTCTCGGATATTATTATATTGACATTATTATTATTAATTTAAATTTGAGTGTCTAAATTGCCTAATTGTTATTATATGTGTAAATGCTTATTATTATTAAATAAATATTATTTGTGTGTATTATATATATATATATATATATATATATATATATATATATATATATTCGTCATTTATTTTATCGAACTGAGCCCCGATATTTGTTAGTGTCGAACCAAGAATTTAACCGAGATTTAAACCCGGCTCGTGCACCATAACCGACTTCCTCTCTTTACCCCTTTGGATTAATTGAATGGCCATTTGATTAGGGAATTTAATCCCTATTTAATTACCTTTACTTGCAATGTAATTGCCTTCAAGATTTCCCAAACCCTACTTTTTGTTCCAAGCAAGCAGAACCCTCCTCTCTCTTCTCATACGCTCACACCCTGCAATCATAATCTCTCCATCTCTCTCGTCGAAACATAGCAGCAGAGAAGAGAGAACCTTTTCTCTCTCTCTCTTTTTTTCCTTCCATCACAATAATCTCCAGCCATCATCATCAAATTCGAACACTCGAGAGCATCAGAAACCTCAACTTCCGGCGAGACCTTTCAACAACCGAGAAGGACCCTATGGCCAAGGGCTTTAGCCACCATCACTGACCCTCCGAAACCGATGACCCCTGTGTAGTCCGCAAGCGTTTTTGGTAAACGGCAGCGGTTTTTTTCCTGCAAATTCCAACGCGCGTGAGTAGCAGCCTCTCATTCTGTCGAAGAAGAGAGCACGAAGCCGAAGCCCAAGCCGAGTTCTTCAACAGCACACCCGTCGAGCTCTGTTCAGCCATCCTTTGGCAGCGACGGAGACCTAGCAAGCCACGCGGTCCCAGCCCGACGAACAGCCTTTGGTCCTCACCTGCCGCTGCAACTCCGAGCAAGTGTGCCGCCGTTCAGGGCCCCGCGACACCCTGACGATCCCTACCGCGTACCACACGTGGTCCCGAAAAGCATCGACCGAGCACCATCGCCGCGTTCTCATCACTCAGACGGCTTTATTTTACGCTATACCTAACCAGAGGGAGCCTGGTATAGGATATTATACCCACAAGGCTAAACCGGCCTGCTGACCGGTCGAGGAGGTTATACCGTGGAGAAGTCGAGGAAATTGAGCAGTTAACATGTCGACCAGCTAAACAATCAACCAATCTATCCTTCGACCAGATGAACAGTCGAGCAGTTCAGTTGACCTCGATCGATCGACCACTTCGCGGACCGAACACCTCATAGATCGGCTTAGTCACAGGCGCGTGAAAGAGCCTCTAACAAAATTTCAGAAGAATATTCATCCCATGTGCAGGAGGACACGTGCCGAGGGCACATTGGTTGACAACAACAACCACCTCTGACAGCCTACCCCATGTGCAGGAGGACACGCGTCCAAAGAGTATTGGTACAGGCGATAGTGGCGACGGCTACCTCTGACACACGCGTATTGTGTGTACCGAGGGGCAGTTTGGGCAGACAGCTCACTAAATCCGGGCAGCCCTAGGTCAGGTATCTCACCCCTATATAAAGGGGGTGAGCCTTTCTTCTTCAACACGATTTATCCATTATTTACTTCAATATACTCATACACATACTGACCTAAGCATCGGAGGCTCTTCACCAGACACTACCCCCGATGTGAGAGTTACTTGCAGGTTTTCGACGTTCTACCGGCGAGGACGAGAAGCGATCTATTCCGAACCGGACCAGGGAGTTTACACTTGCATTATTGGCGCCGTCTGTGGGAACTTTTTATTCAAAAGGTTGTGTTTAAGCTCAGCTATGGCGGACGGAATTCCCCGAACCAACTTGCTGTCGACGTTCGACGACGACCAGGCCGATTGGACAAGGCCCCCCTCTGGGTTTCTCTGGCCCTTCACAGACGCCGGTCACTCCTACACCCGTCCTTCAAGGTGTGGGAGTGACTACGGCGATTCCCGGAGGAGACGCCAGCTCCAGTCGTTCCCAGGAAGCTCGCGCAGCAGCTGCGGTGGCGATGCCACCACCGCCGCCACAAAATCCAGTGGTGGCGCAACCAGTAAG